TGTCCAATAGACGACTCGCATCTTCATGATCATCGCATATCAAAATGATGTCGTCTACATATCTCCTATAGAAAGGCAGTTTAGAAATTAAATCAGAAGATAAGTTTTCAACATAAGACATAAAAACATCCGCTAATAAAGGTCCTAATGGACTCCCCATAGCAACACCATCCACTTGTCTAAAATGTTCACCTTCAAACGTGAAATGGACGTTATCAGTACACAATAGTAATAAATCTTTCAAATAAGTTAAAGGAAAAGGAAGTGAAAAACAACTAGAAGATATATAATCACAAAGAATATCAACGGTCTTAACCAATGGTACATTAGTAAACAAAGAATTAACGTCAAATGAATACATTTTCCTATCTTTTATGTTCATATCTACAAGACAGTCAACAAGTTCAAATGTATCTTTTAAAGTAAACTTACATAATTCATTGCGCACTGGACTTAAAATATCAGCTAGCCATTTTGCTAATTTATGTGTAGGAGAGTTACACATTGAAAGAATTGGCCGTAATGGATTATCAACCTTATGAATTTTGGGTAATCCATAGAGGTTTGGAAAGTCAGATCCCATGGGTTTCAAGGAATTAAACTCCTGTTTATCGATAACGTCCAAGCCACGAAGTTTTACTAAATGAGAATTTACTTTTCCTTCTAATTTTCTGATATCATCCGAAGGAACATCGGCTATGAATTTGCTTTTATCACTAAGGATGGATAACATTTTTGTTTTGTAATCGCATCTGTCCATTACAACCACACCAGATCCTTTGTCAGGTTTCAAAATAACTAAATCGGTTCTGTTACGTAATTCCTTTAGGGCTTTAAAATGAGTTGATATTAAAATGCTTCTTTGTTTCCGACTTGAATTACGGAATTGGTGTGCCACATCTACAAATTTAACTTTCAACCAACTTTGGTCATCTGTCGAGGAAGGAGTTAAGGAACTCAACTGATCATACAAATTTTCAAACTGAGAATCAATTGCTAAGTCCGAAATATTGTTTAATGGGATAGAAAAATTGAAACCAAGTGATAGCACCTCCTTTTCATGTAATAAAAGTTCAACCGATGACAGATTTGTCACATACTTATCAGGATTTAATGGGAATTGGTTTAATTGAAAGTCAGAGGTACAAGATCCAAGCAATTTCAATCTGGTATTCTCTTTCGTCTTAGTAACGGCAGAGCTACAAAAATTAATGAACTTGATTTGGCAAATAATGGAGACATCAGACAATATATTTGATGACGATAAATGGAGTTCAATCAATCCACATAACTTCTCATTAGAATTGTCAATGTGAGATTTGGTAAGGCGAATAAGATTTGAAATATTTGGTTGAAGTTTAGAAGATCGAAGAGATTTGTAAAATTCCTTCGGGAATGTGTGAGTTGAGAGACAAGATTTATAAAAATCCAACTTCACCTTTTCAGATGCTACTTTACACTTCAGGGTAAGAAGTCCATCTAACCGTTTGATAGTGTCTGGAGGGAGTCTTCTTTTCAAAAATTTAAAACAGTTAGTCCCTTTTATAAATTTTGATAGCATTATTAGAAGACGGAGATTATCTGAAAAATGTGATGTATTAGCGCTATACATTTCGAACAATCTGATCACACATTTACTTGTCAAGTCAATATATATGGAAAGGTTAAATTAAACAAGGTGACAAAGAAGAATTAAGAATAATTAACACAAACGTTTGGTAATCCAATCAAATAAGGATTACCAAGGTAGGTTAAGAGTAATAACAAACTGTTTTTGAATACACAAGGGGGGCTTAAGTTTATGAATGGCTATAGCCTCAGCGTATTTCAGTAAACGTCCTTGACCGTTTTTATAGATGACCTTAAAGGCTGAGTTAACATCAACCTTATGGTTCATATCGATTAAATGTATAGACGACAGATGACCAAAGTTGGTTGAAAGTTAAATTTGTAGATGTGGCACACCAATTCCGTAATTCAAGTCGGAAACAAAGAAGCATTTTAATATCAACTCATTTTAAAGCCCTAAAGGAATTACGTAACAGAACCGATTTAGTTATTTTGAAACCTGACAAAGGATCTGGTGTGGTTGTAATGGACAGATGCGATTACAAAACAAAAATGTTATCCATCCTTAGTGATAAAAGCAAATTCATAGCCGATGTTCCTTCGGATGATATCAGAAAATTAGAAGGAAAAGTAAATTCTCATTTAGTAAAACTTCGTGGCTTGGACGTTATCGATAAACAGGAGTTTAATTCCTTGAAACCCATGGGATCTGACTTTCCAAACCTCTATGGATTACCCAAAATTCATAAGGTTGATAATCCATTACGGCCAATTCTTTCAATGTGTAACTCTCCTACACATAAATTAGCAAAATGGCTAGCTGATATTTTAAGTCCAGTGCGCAATGAATTATGTAAGTTTACTTTAAAAGATACATTTGAACTTGTTGACTGTCTTGTAGATATGAACATAAAAGATAGGAAAATGTATTCATTTGACGTTAATTCTTTGTTTACTAATGTACCATTGGTTAAGACCGTTGATATTCTTTGTGATTATATATCTTCTAGTTGTTTTTCACTTCCTTTTCCTTTAACTTATTTGAAAGATTTATTACTATTGTGTACTGATAACGTCCATTTCACGTTTGAAGGTGAACATTTTAGACAAGTGGATGGTGTTGCTATGGGGAGTCCATTAGGACCTTTATTAGCGGATGTTTTTATGTCTTATGTTGAAAACTTATCTTCTGATTTAATTTCTAAACTGCCTTTCTATAGGAGATATGTAGACGACATCATTTTGATATGCGATGATCATGAAGATGCGAGTCGTCTATTGGACAGACTCAACTCTGTACAGAATCATATTAGTCTTACATGCGAGGAAGAAAGTCGCAACCAGCTCGCATTTTTAGACATACTTCTGAGTCGAAGAGACGATGGCTCAATAAGACGTTCTATCTACAGAAAGCCCACTTGGACAGGGCAATATCTTAATTTTCACAGCTTCTGTCCATTACAATATAAGAGAGGCTTGGTGAAGTGTCTATTTAAGAGGATTCAGCGTATTTGCACGGCTGATGTTATAGACAAGGAAAACGAAATATTGATGGATACTCTTGTTGAAAACGGATATCCTTTGAAGTTTTTAAACAGGTGTAGAAGTCAACTAACCTCTAAACCTACAATCCATACTGTCCCTAAGAAGAAGGTTTTCATCAAATTACCATATAATGGGGAAATAAATAGTAGGATTTTGAGACAAAGGTTGAATTCCATCATCCGTAGAACCTACTATGCAGCCCAGCTTGTAATTGTCGAAAAGGCTAAAAATATGCTTCACTGGAAACCTCAAAAGTGCACAAGTGATTATATCACATCCCATACAATTTACCAATTTTCATGTGTGTGTGGACATACATACATAGGGAGGAGTAATCGCGCGTTGCACGTGAGGGTGGGAGAGCATATCCCAAAGTGGTTAGGAAAACAGATGAATTGTGACAAGCCCATAGATGCAGGTGCCAGACTACCAACTTCGTCCATAGCTAAACATTTAATCGATATGAACCATAAGGTTGATGTTAACTCAGCCTTTAAGGTCATCTATAAAAACGGTCAAGGACGTTTACTGAAATACGCTGAGGCTATAGCCATTCATAAACTTAAGCCCCCCTTGTGTATTCAAAAACAGTTTGTTATTACTCTTAACCTACCTTGGTAATCCTTATTTGATTGGATTACCAAACGTTTGTGTTAATTATTCTTAATTCTTCTTTGTCACCTTGTTTAATTTAACCTTTCCATATATATTGACTTGACAAGTAAATGTGTGATCAGATTGTTCGAAATGTATAGCGCTAATACATCACATTTTTCAGATAATCTCCGTCTTCTAGTAATAGAGAAAGTAATCAGTCTCATTGTTACAACTAACGCTTATCACTAATTCATCTTTACCCACAGGATTATCAACGTTAACAAAAACACACAAGCCTACACATTTCCCAACTCGAACGTGGTTGACCCACACGCCCACATACACACACACAGAGGCACATATCCCTACTGCTAAGGGTAACAATTTCCTTTCGAAATCGGATTAACACAATCATTTTGTCCAGTAGTCTTATTTACAAAAGGCAAAAAAGGAAAAAAGACAATAGCTAAAAACGTCTTATCTTATCACAAAAATCCCTTAAAGTTTTTGATGTGATATCACTTTCACGATGGTCATTTTTGTGATTAACTCGACTTCCTCTGTCTCTCTCCAGTTCTCTCCTCTAGCCCAATTTACAATACAACAAAAATATAAAAGATAAATAAGGATCTTATCAAAACAATTACGTCATCCTTCTTAAGTCAAATGGGAAAAATCCCACCAACTCAGATAGATATGCACACACACACACACGAAAAACCACAATTATACAAACAAACTTATTTGTCATGCTTGATATTTGATTTTGTCATGACACATCCTGACTGTCTTGTTGTCATCATTACCCAACAAAAAAAACTTTTTAATTTTAAATATTGTGACCAATAACAACTGTGTGTGAAGAAAGGCTGGGGGGGGCGGGAATTAGTCCACTGTAAAGTTATCCATTTTGGTGTGTGGACACGTGAAGATGCCTATCCGTGGGTGTAATCAATAGACAGTAGACGACAGTAATAGTAGGATGAGGAGGAGGGGGAGTAGGAGTGATAATCATAGACCGATTGAGTGGGTGGTAAATATGTATGTATACACACAGGCTAATTATCTCCATTCCGCTGTGCTGATTGGTCAGTTAGAATCAGTGTGACCTTATTGTCCAAGTGAAAAAAGCCTATCATAATTAAGGAAATGCAACTAACATTAACTAACATGAATGACAACTTACAAAAACACATTTTTTTTTCATACCTCATTTGGATTAAGTGAAAGGCGGCGACATGATGATGGTTATTGACGAAAAATACAATGTCAACATGTATACGTCAAATATGCAAAAAAATTCTCCGTTTTATCATGTATTGAATACAGTGGTTGTGAATAATGCAACTGCGTCGGCAGCAGCAACAACAGCATCTAATAACGGTAATATTGCTGGTCCCAGTGATCGCCGTCATTATCATCATCGTGATACGAATGATAAAATGTTAAAATATACTAAAGAGAATCATCAACCAGAAGAAGAAGTTAAACAATCTGATGAGTATTCCAGTCTACCAGATAATTTAAAAATGATAATTAGTAAAACTTGGGCATCATGTAGTGATGAGGATACAGAGAATATTCCACCACCGGTGATGAAGCCAATATCAGATAATACGCATAAGACGCATATGCAGCCCAATACTATAACGTCTGCTGCGAATACACCGATTGTTTGCACTTGCCAACCGAATAAAGATATCCTTACGACAGCAACACAATTACCAACAATTTCTACGACTAGTCCAGATTCTGGTTTGGGTTATGAACATCATTTGGTTCCTCGTGATCGAGTAGTTCCCCGTGAAACAGTTAGACAACCGTTCATGCTGAGACAACACAACCACCACCAACAACAACAACCACAACCTTGCATTCAAGCATCAGTTATACCGAAACCAAGACCTTTAGTACGACAGAAAGAGGATATTGATGCAAATTTATTCTTATTTTTTCCACCAACATTATTAACATCGTCAACATCATCAACAACGTTGAAAAGTGTCAACGGTACTGGAGACAGTATTAACATTCATAATAATAATAATCAGGTGATTCCAACAATATCATCACAACAGATGACTTCATCAGCCTTCAGCAGTACATCGACAGCAACAATAAACACGAGTATATCAAATGCTAATTATCATCATCATAATAATAGTAATAATGATAATATTAAATCAACTCAAGCACCTGTGCGTCATCCATTCAAACGTAAACAAGATGCTATTTATAATGCCCGGTATAAAACACAACCATGTGTACACTATCAAAAGTATAAACATTGTCCATTGGGGGATAATTGTCATTTTGCACATGGTCCAGAAGACTTGAAACATCCACAATCTCATCCAAAATATCGTACAAGAATTTGTACAAATTACTCTGAGACTGGTGATTGTCCATTTGGAAATAATTGTTACTTTTTACACAAGTTACCAACAGTCACACCGTTATATCACCATCAATTGCAGATTAGTAATAATAATAATAATCATGATCCTGTGAATACAACAATCAATCATTGGAATGGACAATCGTTCACTGGGCAGCAGCAGATGATTATGGCAAATATCCATAACAATGTGAATGGTAGCCGTGCAATTATTGATTCTGTATTACTTCGCCCATATTTAAGGCAAGTTGCTATTTGAATTTTCTTTTTTTTTTTCTTAAAAAAACCCACCAATTGTTTCTTCTTTACCTCAAAACACTTAATATTGCATTTTATTATTCTTTGTTGTTTTTTTTTATTGAAGGCCTTCCATATTGACAGATAGATAGATATATATCAATTTCTATTTTATATACCTTTTCGCTTGGACTTAAATCATACGATCTTTCCATAATTTTTATTAATCATACATCTTTTAATTTTTATTTTCATAAAATTAAATTTAAAAAAAACGCCTTCAACAATGATAAAATAGTTATCTTCTCAGGATGTTTTTTCTCTATTGCTTTATATATATATATATATTTTTTAAATGTGTATTTATTCGTACAGTTATTTACATTAGAAAGGATATATACCATTCCTACACACATTGCTCCCGTTGTTTTTTGAATGCCGCCTTGCAATTGAATTGAATTAATCCATTCATGCATTCATTTTTATTCACTCTATATATATGTGTCTATGTCGTACAAAGGGCAATGTACTTATTGATTTATTTGACTACAACTAATCGATAGTTGTGCATTTAAAAATAAGCAACGCATCTATAAATATCCATATACTTATTATTATTTTAAATTTTTTTTTGGTATAACAAGCGCGTCTGTTTGTTCTGCCTTGAATGTTTCAGGGCAGACATCAGATGTGTAGTTTAAGCACATTTTGATTAATATTATTAATAATAATAGTAATAATAATACTTATTAAAAAATTATAATAATAAAAATAATAAGCAGCTACTAATTTTTTTAAAGAATTTTTTTAAAAAATGTTTAATTTATTTAATACTATTCTATTATATATATTTTAACAACAAAAAGACTGGACATTTTTTATTTATAATTTTGTTTATATTTTTTAATGTTCTGTGTGTGTAAAACACTCATGTGATCTTTCCTTATTGGATTATTTTTAAAACTTGCATTTTTAATACATTGAATATGCACACTTTATATATATATTTACTTTGTCTCCATTCTCTTGTACACCTGTTTGTATTATCTTAATTAAACATTCCCAGAATACGGAAAAACATTGTGGCGAATTTCAAAAAATATTTATAAACACCATCTATGTGTTTGTGTGTCACTTAAAAATGCATTTTTTTTGCTATCTAAAAAAACAAATTGAAAGAAGTTTGTTAAAATAAAGGCTGTTGAGTGCTCATCAAAGCGTGTTGTTCTGATACCTCTCTTTCTTTTTCTTATATGTCGTGTGTTATGTTACGGGGCGAACACAAAGATCCGATCGGTTTAGTTTCGTGATGGTTTATTGTTAAGGTGGGGTGGAAAGGGTTATTTTAGTGGGCGAAACAAAGTGACCGCGTGTAACTACAGCGTTTCGAGGGTGTTTCTTATTATTTTGTTTGATAAGTTCGTAGTCGATGAATAGGGCTTCATCCAACTAGTATCACAATTGTCCTCTCTAATAGGATAACCTTCATATTACCGTTATGTCTGCTCGCACAACTTGTCGTACCAATGTATGCTTCTGTGGTTGTCCTCACCCCCTTCTTGAACGAATCAGTTAAGGTTGCAGACACCACTTCTTCCTGGGAGTCGGTTCCAAGAGTTTATGACTCGATGTGAGAACCAGTACTCAACAGTACTCAATATGATTTCTTCTTGGCTTTTGAACTCTCCTGCTATGTCCTCTAAGGTGTTCCGACCGCCTGGTGAGAAGGAAAAGAGAGAATAGGTTAGGTCCATAGTCATTATTTTAAATTTTTAAACATTGTGATTAAATCTCATTTCTGCGTACGGTATGACAGGGAGAAGAGATTTAAACTGTCTAGCCTTTCCTCGTATGATAAGTTAGTCATGTGGTGAACCATACGTGTTGCCTTCCTTTGAACCTTTTCTAGTATGTGTGAGTCCCCTTATAAGACAAGGACTGGCTGGTGGCCTGGATGCCATTTTTTTCCAGTCTTGACCTCACCAGAGATGTATATAAGGAGGTGAACATATCTATAGGGTGATTCTAGTGAAGGCTATGCGAATTGCCCGTAAGTGCCTGAAACTACGTGCAGCCACCGTGCGACAGTGTGCTGTAGTTTTTTTTTGAGTCGTGGCTAACTATGACACCTAAGTCCAAGTGAGTCTGAAGTGTTCAAAAGATTTAAAACATCCAAAATATCGTACACGGATTTGATGATAGGGCGCTTGGTTTCAGTCGACAGTGATCTAGCTTAGAGTGTGTGATAGAATTGAGCATATCTAACCTTTTTTTTTCCAGCACAGCGTTATTTTGAGTTATCGGTGGCAAAGGGGTTCATAGGCATATGCATGAATTCAAGTAGGATAGACAAAGAGAGAAAACGCGATAGGCGTCATTGTTTCGCAAGTAATGACCTTAATAATAATAATAATAACAATAATTATCTAGTAAAGGTCAACGGATTCATCCAGTTCACATGTATACGTGTTGAATCTTGTCCCAGAACGTATGTGTTTTGATGATGCGTATATACATATATGTGAATATATCTCATACAAAAGTGTATCGATCGCATAAAGCTCTGATAATAATTAAAATAAGCATATCAAAATGTGTAAAGTACAGATGCGTGGTGTAGCTTGTGTGTGTGTGTGTGTGTGACTCACATTGTTTCAGAAATATCATCATTTGCCAAAGAACAGCATTTACGAAGAGCATAGATGGCGGCTAATTTATTCTCTTGGATTTCGAGTGGTTAGCCAATTAGGTATTAGCCACACACATTGAGTAAGAGGCTTAATGATACTTCTGTGAGCAGGAGTTGAACTCAGGACCCATTGACTCAATGCACTGAGGACTTACTCTATGATAAAATGCGCTAAATCTCCTTGGTTATCATTGAACTATAAGACTTCAATAGCGATATATATATCACCGTTTCTAAATACTTTTTTGTTTTCATGTCTCCGTTGATCTCCTTCGTGTGATTTGTTGTTTCTGGTATCTAGCAGCTGACGCGTTTTTAGGTCAATCAATGATAGATGCGATAAGTTTGTTTATTTCATCTGCAGTTATAATAATAATAATAATAGTTATAATCTACTTTATTCCAATACAGAATGGAATTCTCAGCATTTTTTCACAATATTCCATCTGATTTACTCAAAATATAAATAAAATTAAAAATTAAAACAAAAGTAACCAGAGGAATTTGTCCACATTTACGATATAAAGTCAAAAATATTCGAAGTACGAATTGAGAGCATTAAATATAATAATAATAATAATAATAATAATAATAATAATAATAATAACAGTGAGTTTATTTCCAACAGTATTGTCGATTCAGTTTGAAAATCTTAGCATGTTATAGATTATTGAATTTAATGTTCTGTTGGTATAGTATGGTGAGGGGAAATACAAAATTAACAGTTATAACACAGCTTAAATGATGTTCACACTTATGAAAAAATAAACAAATAAAAACAAAAAGTTGAGAGGATTATAAATATAAGAAATACAATAACAATAAAGGTTGATGCTTTAAGGGTGGAGGAAATGGTTTATTTACTAGTGCAAAGAACGTTAGTTATTCACTTTGCCTGACAATATTTTCATCACATAAAGTACGTGCCAAATATGGTATAGTGGAAGTTTTATACTTAGATGTACGTGCATAAATTCTTCTGAAAAGACTTCTTGTTTTAGCTGAGGGTAGAGTTGGTGCTCAGAGTGTGAAAAAATTTCTTTAGCGAATTTGTTGCATGACATCAAGTGCCTATGTTAACTATGTAGTCCAATGGGACACCACTCATCCTACTGACAGTCTTCAGAGTTCTACGAAGTATGACATAGTCTTTTTTAAGCAATCCAGGAAAGAATAATGGTGAACAGTAAAGAAGAATAGGTAAAATACACGAGTTGACAAACTGTAAGTGGAAGGGTTGATTGAGTTATGCCTGAGTGCCTTAACTTCTCAATGTAAAACGTCAGACGAAATATTTTCTTCAGAAATCGCTAAGACATGGGAGGACCAAGATAGGTCAGAAGAGAGAATTAATCCAAGATACTTAACTTCAGAATTGGTTTCTATATAAGTATCATCGATTTTGCAAGGGTCATAGGAACCAACGGCTTCATTTAACTTTCGTTTACATCGGAAACTGAAATTAACAGTCTGACATTTGGAAGGATTAAGTTTAAGGCCGTTAGACGAAGACCATTTACTGACTCCTGATAGAAAGCTGTTCATCTTAGTACAGTCAAGCTGGGAGTTAAGCGACATCGAAATAGTTAGATCATCGGCAAAGTTCATTTCATCAGAGTGAGGCAAGTCATGCAAGAAGAAAGAAAACAAAAGGAGAAAGGACAGCGCCTTGAGGGACACCAGCCTCAGTAAGCAATGAAGTGGACAACACCCCCCCCTGACATACAGTGTACTGCTTTCTTCCTGAGAAATAAGAATGCAGCCATTCAACAACCCAACAGTCCGTTTGAGTTTCAGCAAGCTTGTTTAACAAAATGTCCCTAGGTACTGAGTCGAAAGTAGATGTGAAATCCAGTCATATATAGCTAGCTGTATGTGGTGACCTTTAAAATGAATAGTGCTCGTTTTGATAAAAGGCTTATCACAAGTGGAAAAAATTCACTTTTATTATTATAATACTTTAATAAATAATTAAATAGCGAAATGTCAGTAAAAACGACAATACCGTTTTGTTTTTCTATAGTTTGGTTTGTAAGGGTTAATTATGTTTTTACGAGTTGATCACGGATTGATATCAGTTAGAGAACCATTGAAAACCAGCACTGGAGTACTGGACAGCTGCTGTTTCATCCTAGTTTGGGAATCACCGGAAGTACGCACCCACTGGGATTCGAACCCAGGACCTTCCGGTTACAAGACCAGCAAGCTCGTATACCATTCTGCCACTGGGACCCGATTCAATGGCAGCTCATGAATTCTAACTTCTACCAATTCAACTGATTAAAAATGCCCATTAAAATTTTCAAAAGAATGGATACTGAACAAAGAGTACT